TCTTTTAAATATGGGAAGCTACATCATACGCGGATGTCATAGACTGAAATACGTGGGAGCGAAGCTCCGACAATTTAATTCCTGCTAATCACATTAAATTGAGTGTCATTAAAATTTTGTTTTTGGAGATTTCATAATACAAAAATATATCTTCATTAAGACATACACATCTTAATAATTACCATAACGATGGCTAAATTGTACCTACATCAAAAAATACATGAATTTTAAAATTCTACCCCTAAACCACTATTTTTTTTTCATTAAATCTTTTTTACAGGAAAAATTAATTAATATGTCATTTTAAAACTCTAGATTTTAAGCAGTATTTTCATAATTATTGTAAAGTCAGCAAGCAAGTAATTTTAACTTGACGAACTATCAAAGCTTGTTTAAAATAGTTAATATAACAACATACATATTCTCAATTGCCGAGTTATTCAATTCACAATAAAAACGATCGAAAATATTTTATGCAAGCGGATATAAATATTAACTCGATCGGTCCTACAAAATCTATAAGTTTTTCCAATTACTATACGCATGGATTCGACACATCACTCAGAATACACTTCGAATATCACTCGAAATTTTCAGTTCAGTTAAATAAAATATTAATTTGGACGGCATTATTTTACGAACCGTCCTTTTATCCATTTGAACGATTTCTAAATAGTTTACAATTACTATCGTGAATGTTTCGTCAATGTTTCAGTGCAAAATGTTAACAATGTTAACACAAAGTGTTAACAACGTCACAACACGTAAAGGGTTACACCCCGCTGCAACCAAATTCGATACCGTATCCAAGTTTCGTAGTAATTATCACAGTGTTACCAATATGCGACATTTTTTAATATTTCGCGTCGGTAATGGTTGTATAGGAAAAAAAAATCATAATAAACACTGGTGTGCCAGCATTGACATTGTACGCATTGACTCTGTCGGGTGTAGATATGCATTCATAGAAAATGTCATCATCATCATTGTCATCAGCCCTTTTACGTCCTCACTGCAGGGGCTCAGGACTTCCTTATGGATGTTTAAGGAGGATAGGCCATGACCCTCTACGCTGGCCCAATGCGGATTGGGGGGTATAAACGACTGCAAATGCAGCCGGGATCAACGGCTTAACGTGCCTTCCGAAGCACGGAGTAGCTCGAGATAATAATTTTTTGGTCACCCATTCCGTGACTAACCTTGCGAAAGTTGCTTAAAGACAACGATCGCGGGCCGCGGCGCTTATCCACTACGCCACGAAGCTACTCCGTAGCACACTACATAGAAAATGTATGAAAGAATATTCTTAGAGATCACTTGACTAAAAGTTTGTGGGCAAAATCCGAAGCCGAATTAGAATACACTCAGGTGTTTCAATTCATTTCGAAAGCGAATCCGCTTAATTTATATTAATGTGGAAATTCTATTGATAAAAGTTCAAAACAAAATTGGTTGATTCATACGTGATATTATATCCGAATTTCATATCGAAACTCACTTCACTTATGCCACGAAATTTTGATATTAATTAAAGGTTAAGCGGATGACGCTTGCGTAATGGATTCGGACATCTAGTATATTACAACGAAGTCTCAATGTAACATGTGACGATATAGGGTTCGGATTTTTATGGAATCGCTCTGCTAATACGTACTGTAACGGAACTGATACGTTACTATTTAAATGGTTTAAACACGAATGTGCCAATCCCACCTTCGGTATAATTTATTTTACGCAAGAAGTCCTTTTGATGACAATGTTTTCGCTTAATTACAAAAACAATAAGGGATATGCCATGGCAACTCTTTCGTGAAACACTATAGACAAGACGCTGCGCCCGAGTGTCCTTTATAATTTACCAATCAGGGGGCTAATTGCCTAATTTCAAAATCCATCACAATGCCTTTCAAATATATAGCGATTGTCATAGCAATTTATGGAATTATGTAAGCATAAAAGACGCATTCGCTTTCGGGTCGAATGATGATAATAAAAACTTAGTAACAAAATAGTAATATTTGTATTCAACGCTTGGTTTAGAATTCTAATTAGGTTTATAATTTAATGTATTATTGTAATGTAATGTAATGTATTATGTAATGTAATGTATTATTCTTGGTTTATATTTCAAAAAATGTCGCGATCGCAATCACCGTCACATGTCAAATAGTTGTAGCACGAAGAACGTGAATATCTTTCAAATATCAAGTTAAACGGGATTTTTAAATTTATGATCATCTTGTCTGATTCTGATCTGATTGGCATTTATATCAATGACCATACCTGTTGCATGACAATATCCGCCTTCACAACATTGACTACTAGTAGCTTACATATTTCGCCCTATAAATAGGACTAACTTTAGTACAAATTTTAAACAATTATTGGACCCAAATTATGTCAACACGTCACAATATGACCTTTTCGTTTCTGTAGTAACGTCTCAATGATAACATTAAATCGAAATTTTAAGCAATCAACCCAAATAATATTCACGATGAGCTCTAATTTCTTTCTTTGATTTTTTTTGTACTGACAGTAGCTTTAATTCTTTTGATATGATATATTCTTTTGATTGTTAAAGGCGTGTACATACACACAAATAAACAATTAAATAAACTCAAAAGTAGCTTGAACCAAATTATTACACTTATCACAAGAAAAACAGTATTATTAATTTGATTATCTTATTACATTCATATTCAAGAGCGCTTGAGAGAGTTATCGGCGAACTATTTAGATGATTACAAATTACTACATAATATCATCGATGGTAAGTGATCGTGTCTTTGCCACTGCGATAGTAGAGGTCCTGGTGCTCTTTTATAGAATAATTTGACTCGTTCCCACCGCTCCAGCCCCAGTTTTTATTTTCCTCGAATACAGCGTGTAGTTTGACGACGAAACGAGTAATAGAGTAGATGACAATTCGCGGATAAATATGCATTACGTAGAATAAACTAATTTAGATTTTGAAGTTGCTTAAAAATCACACTAATGCAAAATACGCTACGATATCTTTTGTTTTTCGATAATATAAATAGGTTATTATTGTTTTTTGTCAAAATGCTTCCTGTAATTATGTTATAAAACAGAACTACTTATCCGATATTGATACATTTGATACATGGGACCATTACAAACATTCCAATAAAAAAGAATTTTAAAATCGGTAAAATATTGTACAAAAATCGGCGTGCACACATAAAACCTATTCTGATCGAAAAACAAAAGTGATAATCCGATTTAGAAAAAAAGTTTTTTAAAAATAGAACAACGATGGCCTATCTATATATACACTGATTCATTTTATTCAGATAGGTAACTCGCTTACAGACTTTTAATAAACGATTTAATGTACAACATATTAAATTGACATGTAATTTGTTGTTCATCAATAAATAAAATAAGTCTTGCAATAAAATTAGTAGAGAAAGAAAATGTTTTAGTAGATGAATCTAATTGACTCTATATTTTAAAAATAATTAACAGCTGATATAAATGCATTAATCATTACTTAAGATTTGTTTACTCATGTACCTAAAAGACAAAATAATTGCGTGTCATTCTACACTTTGTATTTTTTTAATCATAATAATATTTTATTTTAAATATAGTAACTATGATGTCTTCTCAACATAGTATAATTATAAATTGAAATAAGAAAATCCGATTAAGAAAAAAAACTATATCTACTACTATTGTTACTGTCATAATTTTTGCTTTGTGATTTCCGTTGCGATTTGTGAGAAACGTGCGACGACGACGATCGCACCTCATATAGTGACTTTGGCTTGCCGTCGCGCGCCGCCGTACCCAATTGGTCGCGTATCGTCGGCACGCCCAGGGGAGGGGGCCACGCACACACTCTCATACTCACCTAAGATAATTTATTTTATGTTATACCGTTTGAATATTTTATATCTGTGTGAGTTTTTTCGGTCGGTATGCGTTCAGTGTGAAATATTCGCGCGATAAGAAAGAAGAGGGGAATAGATCGATCGGGGGACGTTGCGTTTTTTATTTCGATACTTGGAGATGTTAGTCATAGCTTAATTGTGAGTTCGTTAGTATGTTTGCATTTGGTTTTTTACTAGCGTATTGGTATTAGATATTGCACTTTGCACTAAATTGCCAATTGGACCAATCATGGTTCAATTGGCAATTTTATTAGACATGCATAGAAAACTGGAACTTCTCCAAACTGTATTTTGATATTTTTCCTTTTTATTTTAATATGTTTTGTAAGTTAATGAATTAAGGACTGGTACAATATTGAAATGTAGTTAGTATTCAGTCACTATAAAATTAAACGATTTAAATGTGATTTAAATAATAAACAAGGTTCTTAACCCGTACACAGTACAATATCTATAAGTACATAATGATATTCAATTTGTAACATAACCAAATTATTTATCGTTTCATATAAATTCAGAGCTCAGACAACCATAAAATTCTCCATAGAAGCAGTACATATAGAACTAAGAAAAACACATTCAAAAGATCGTTTAACGCTGTCATTGCTTAACATGTTTCCACCGCTAAAGTGACTCCAGTAATATAAGCTATTGAGTACACAACAGGTCATAACCACCAACTTCACAGGCAGGCTTCTTATAAGTATCTGCTGATCGTATTGCATGAAAATAAAAAGTACAAACGTGGTGGTTACCTTTAATCAAATGCAAAGCTATCATTAACTCAGCGCTTCGGCAAACTCGCTCGTCGTGCCCATCGTCACTGTTAATTATCATAATATATATGTATAAAATAAAATAAAAGAGACCGCTACGTACCCAATACTAACATAAAAAATACGAGAAAAGAAAGAGAAGCTTTAAAAAAGAAAGGAGTGCATCTACCCCCACCTTCGATAGCCCCCACCGAGTCGGGCCGCCCCTGCTGCGGCGGGCGCCACCCACCGCACCGCAAAAATCGAGAGCGTCGACGGCAGCGCGGGGTCAAACGGCGACGCGAGCGTGAAAAGAAAGAGCGGTGTGCGAGCGAACGCACACTGAGCCGTACGTGCGTGTGCGCGCCGAGAGGGACGGCGGACGCGAGAGCGGGACAGCGGCGCCAATTACTATCACCTGGCGGGCAGCTACCGCATTACCCACTGCCGCCGCGCGCGCGACCACGCGCCCGCTGCACCACGCGGCTCGTACCGCTCCTGTGACGCTACTCGAGCTTGCACTTCAATCGATATTCGCACCGCCGCGCGGCCGGCTACCGTCCGTCGCCTGCACCGGTGCTGCCGCCCGACAACTGCCGCTGCCACGGGAATGCAACTGCTACTACTCAACCCTATTGTGGGTACAGTGTTGAGCAGCGACAACATGCGACTGTGAAGTGTGTGCGGACAGTGACACGGACAATTAAACTAGACGTGATTATTTACAAGTTCAACGAACAAGAATCAAAGTGAAAAATGACATCCCAATTCGCCTTCAGAGGATCTCCACCGAATCAGGTAAGTTTGTAACATATAAAAACTTGTGAAAAAGTTACGGACTTAAATATAATTTTTAATAACTTTGCTGAGCGACTTAGTGGATTGATTTTATTTCTTATACATTTTATTGTTGTTTGTTCGTATTGTATTTTATAACATTTTCGTGGTCGCTAGTAAATCAGACTATCTGGAAACTTGAAATATTACTCAGAAAGCTAATAAAATGATAAACCAGAGCATTATTGTAAGAAAACTTCTTATTTTCAATATTTACCATTCATTAACTTCGACTTCGACTTCTAACTTATAAAAGAAAACAAAAACGGTTGCGTTTCTAAAGAGGAAATTTTTGATACACAATACTTCTTTTTGGATTTTTTTTTTCAAAAACTTGCAATCAGCACTAAATACTTTTTTTTTTGTAAAGCGTAAAGTAATACATTTAAAAACTTTATAATTATGTAAAAGGGCTTGTGGAATGGAAAGCATATCGAATCGGTAATCTGATTGATTAACCGTACAAAAATACAATCAACACAACTTACAGTTAGGCGATTGTTAAGTAGGCAACTTATTACTCTTAAGCGTCAGTTAAAATTATATACCAAGTTCTATACAAGTTACGCCTTATTATTTACGATAGATATTTAGGTCATTATAAAATGAGCTGTTTAAAAAATTGTCTCTGTTTTTATATACAAACAGTTTATACTAACACTAAATATATAATTAACAAGTCAAATATACAACTATTATTGTTCTTTATTTAAATTTTATAATTTTCAAGTAGTATTATTTCAAATATCAATCTTCACGTTAAGTATTATATTATTATAGATATGTTATTTATGTATCTACCTTTACGAAAATATATAAATCAAAACACTAGTACCTGAGATAGAAGGTACGATTTAGCTAGGCTTACTTATAAAATAATAAGTTCGTAGAAAATAATAGAGACGAAACTTTTTAGGCGGAAAGAAATGGAAAATCAAGCATCCTATCTTTCGCTTATATTTCTTAAAAACCTATTTAGTTGCATAAATGTACATTAGAATAAAATTAGAAATTAAATGTCATTTACATATATAACATTCGAATTATCGATTAATCAAAGAATAATAGGAAAAATTGCATAAAAAATATTTCCTTGGAGATAAATCAGCGCTTATATACTCGTACTATGAAATTTTACTATAACCATATAAAAAGAATACAAAACCTATATTGCTTTAACAAAGTATGAAAATTGTGACATGTTTTTGTGTATCAATGTCTTAAAAAAATAATAAATCACAACTTTTGATATAAACTTAAACGATTTTAAACAGAATAATGCACAGAAAAGTGATTACAAGGTATGTTTATATTTATATTTAACAATTATACGAGTAAATAGTATTAAATATATCATATTTAATAAAATAATCGAAAGACATGTCACTTACAAAGATTATATAAAAATTAAGGGTCTAATCTAACCTAACAAAACCAAAATTAATGAAATATCAGCCTACAACGTATGTAAATTACTGAATGGTACACATGCATCAAAATTTAGTTCCCAATTTAAGTAACTCGGAATTTTGAGTTCAAAAATATTTTTAACAAATCTTAGATTTTTAGTTGTTCTATTTTTCAATAATTTCATTTAATATAAACATTAATTATTGACTACTTAATTTTCTGTTCACGGGGTTCCTTAAACATATATTTTTAACGATAACTACTTAGGTTGGTAGTTGTTGTATCAGTTAATGAATGATTTCATAGTTAAGTTAAATTAAATGTTCATAATTTTAGGAAGAGCGTAGAGTTTTCTCTACTTTAGTTAGACTTTTCTCAAATTCTTATATTAATTAATATTATTGCATAAAGTGAATATTAAATCAGCGTTCATAAAAGTGTTACGCGTAATATTTATTAAACTATATTAAAACGAATGAACAATATTAGCTTTATAAATAAATCATTAAAAACAGCAATATTTAAGTTTCAATATCTATATATTAGAACACCATATTGATTCAACCCAATAATTTTTTTTCACTAAGGAAACTAAGGGAATTTTAAGAAAAGTAACAACATTATGCTAGCGTGAACTACAAATTACTACGTCAAATTAAATACTTGCTATCGACAACTTGAGTGTGGACAGTGACTTTAAAAACGACGATGTGTTAAAAAAAATGATAAAATGAAAAGCAAAAATATTAATAAATCTCAAAAAGAACAAATAATTATGTAGAGGCTGGTAAAACCTGACGTCAACAAACCTGTTTCTTTTTAATTATTTTTTATTCGATTCTTAACTTTAATTTTATTTGTGAATTTTAAGTAAACATCCAATTCTTCTTGATGAAAAAATCTGAACATAATTTTAGTACAATAACTAATTAAATAAATATTATTTTAAATTCTATATATTTCATTGGTTCTTTCAATATAACATTAGTTACAGATACTTGATACAAGCTGACTTGGCGAACTTCGTACCGTGTTCTATAAATTTTCTTATACAATTTTCTTATTCTGTCAATTTGTTTAAAATGAGATACTGTCACCTGAGTCACCTGTAACCATCGGTCACAAACTAGAAATTTAAAACCTTGAGTGAATGTAATAAGGCCTTTAAAACGCACTATATTCTTTACTTGTAATAAAATACAACATAGGAAAAAAAAACAAAGAAAAATAAGCTTCCTTTAATGCGCCTTGGGTCTCAAATGCTCTTAAACGCAAAGATGCACAAGTTCATAAACCAAAGAGTAAAATAATTTATAAGCAAAGAAAAATAATATACCACAAAAAAATTACATATGTGACAAACATGACAGTGGCATTCGATGACTATGTTTATCGCAATTTAAGTTTATCGAATTTTCAATTTCACATGCGATGATTCTTCGTTATACTAACGTGCAGTAAATATATCGAAATGCTTAAGGGTGAGGCACAATGTGGTGATATTGTACTCGCCGTGTGATATGTGATCGCAAGACTATGCTAGCCGATACTCATTACAAATCAGAATCATAATTATGTATAAACTTAAAAAAACATTTAAATCTTTTAACATACTATAGTACTTCATGTCGAGAATTTTTATTGGTAGGTAGATGATGTCGTATTATGCCGTAGATACATATATTTGTAGAGTCGCAGGCTAAGTTGTAATTTTGATGTTATTGTGTGGATTTGTAAGATGTCCACACTGTTTGTTGTTGTCCACACAGCCAGCAATTAGTATAACTGTGTCCATACATAAACAATGTTTTATAACTATAAATGCATTTTCTAATTGGGGTATATAAGGATGTGCGTTATGTATGTACCACATTATATACAAACCTTGTCCAAACAATAAAAAGTCGTTCGGAAGTTTTGCGCGTAGCCATGTAATACATTTCGTCGATTGATTTTTATATGCAGGTATACATTAACAAAAACAAAACGTACAGTTCAAACAGATTTTTGTATACATATAAATACTCACCTAGAGCAATTACGTATAATGTAACATTACTAATCGAACTTAACATTGGTGAAGGTAGATTTCTACAACTTCTAGTATCTAAATACAGGCAAATATTCTTTAGTGAAATGTAAAAGGAAAAAGTAAAAGAGAGTTCTCATTTTTTTTACTCTGAAAATTTGTGTAATAAAGAATTGGCGATGTTACATCATTTAAGATTAAGAAAATAACATGTTCAGTATCTCAACCGTTATTGAAAACGTGTTTTTGTAGTATCAAATACAAATTGTACACAATTATTTTCCCTCTAGATAATTTACATTATTCGAATGTATAAATAAAAACTTCTTTAATCTACTCTCAAGGTTATAAAACACAATATACACGAACAAAGAACTAATTAATTTTATTATACTGTTAAGCGTTACATTATTATGGCAAAGAACATTTATCTTTCGCTAATAAATACGACGAGTATTTCTATTTGTTCATAAAACTATATTGGTATTATCTTTGTGATTATGTACAGACTAATAGGAGTTTATTAAATTTCATTTCAGTATAATATTGGATATGGCTATACTTTATCTGTCAATTTATTTAGTTTAGTAGGCTCTAATTAAAATGGTGAATCGTAAGTATATCAATGTTAATAAAGATAATATTATGGAGTGATTCGGTCAGTGGCCGGGTGCGTGCCGCGAGCGATCTACTTTCGCTATCTGCCTGATAAGGTGCTCAGAAGAGGGACTTGGGCCCTCAACAAGAACAGCAGGGCGATTCTGTAAAAGTCCGAGCCCGAATTCGTATTCACCCATGTATCCGTATTCGTGTAATTTAATGATGAAATTCTATCAATTCCATTTTTCGTATAAAAATACAAAATAAAATTGATTTATTATACGTGCCTCAGATATTCTATTTCTATGTCATTTCGAAATTCAGTTTGCTTGTGCCACGAAACGTCATTACCGATTCAAGATTGAGCCGATGCCGCTTTTCAAGTACCTAAATTCGGACACCTGAGTGAATTCGAATTCGGGTTCATTACTTCTTACGTTTCGGTGGGGCGGTTGTCGAAACGCGCTACCAACATCTGTGGAGTAGTCGATCGTCTCTTAATTAACTTTCTATTATATTTTCTACGCAACTTCCCGACAGGGTTGCCTATTTCTTTTTTTTTAATAATGCCACAAACTTTTTCACCATGCTCAGTTAGGAATGCAAATTTTTTATTTTTTATTCTCGCCACCAACAGGCTCTTATGGCTTTCACGGTGTGTTTTATTTAAATAGCAATTAAATGCAAGAATGGGCAGTAAACGTTTATGTGAAGTTGTGACGTACGTTTTAAGAGCCCGGTTCCACTAAAACTCTGGTGGCATCATTTTACTTTCACAAACGAAATGTCGAATTAAATATTTCATTTAGATTTAATGAAATCAGATGAACTATTATTATCAATAAAGTATATTTATAATAATAGTTCATGTACTTGAATGAAATAAATAAAATTTATTTTATTATTATCTTTATTAACATTG